CAGAGAAGAGACTTACATTGACGAGGGAAACTTGAGACAAGTAACCATCGCAAATGCTCTTCCCTGATCATTCATTCATTTCCTGGCAATTCATCTTCCTTCTTGGTCTGGGAAACCGCTTCAACATCCACTCTAGAAGCCTCCTCCATAGTATCATCTCCCAAACTTGCATTATCTAATCCCTGTACCTTGTTTTCAATGTTCTTGTTTAATGGAGTGAACTGAACCTCATTCCCAGCTTTCAGATCCTTATCGTCGTTCACTTCACCCTTGCTTCCATCATCAGCAATTATTTCCTTTTCAAAAGCTTCATCCATCCTATTGCCATCAACTTCTTCATCTTCTTTTCCTACTTTATCAGATTCCTTTTCAAAAGCTTCCTCGTTCCCATTACGATTAGCCTTTTCACCTTCTTCTCCAACTTTCACCTCATTTTCTGCCAATTCAACGTCATCCTCAATCCTATCTTCTTCCTTCCCTTTCACATTCCCAACTCCTTCCATGTGCCCTTCAACCAGTTCAACATTGTTATCCTCCAAAGAATGGCCATCCTCATGACTCTCACTCTCAGACTCATTCTCCACTACCTCCTCAGTCATCTCCTCGCATCCACGACCCCTCCTCTCAAGACTTTGCAACCTCCTCCTCAAATCACCCAACTCCCTCTCCATCAAGAACAACCTGTCCTTCAAAATCAAGTTCTCTTCCTCTAACTGAGCAATATGTGTATCTTGATCATCCACACGGTTTCCCAACACATTGTTGTACTCCATCCCGCTATAATTCGGGTAAATCATCTCAAACCTGCTCAAATCATGATCCAACCGCCTCTCCACTTCCACATGTTCTTCCACATCACTCTCACTCGAACCTCCCTCCTCTTCTTCCTCATCCTCGTGTCCTTCTACCTCATGACCAGGCGATCTCAGCCTAATCAACCCATTCATCGATCCGTACCCATCCACTCCCCACTCCTCTTTAGCCATATCTACTAACACCTCCCTCGACGGGGAGAAAATAGGGGTCGGCAACACAGCCGGAGTTACAGGGCAAGGGGACACCAAAGAAGCAATACCACCACTTTTTTTCGCCCTAATGATATATGAAGATGTGTTCCGAGGCGCATAAGGTGCATTCATGTTATTATTATTGTTATGATAAAATTTCTTCTTAGGGAAAAATCTCCGGGCCTTCAATCGGTTTTGCTGTTGCAAGTCATTTAACGTAGGCGGCTTATATCCACCACCTTGAGCATTGGTACTACTACCGCTACTTCCTAAAATCTCGTTCCGCCTTGCAGCATCCATTCTCTGTTCCTTCTTATTTACCTTTTTACCCTTCCAATTATTCCGAGGTCCCAAGGGCTTGGAATGCTGCTTTCCAGTAACAAATTGCTTCATATTGGGGTTAGGGTTTTGAAATTTCAGCTGGTCGACTGACGGCGGTGGCAGAGGCTGCTGCGGCCACATCCTGTAGTTCCGATTCATCATCTGTGGTGGCTGCTGCATCATCAACGGCGGCTTATTCATAGCCATACTCTTATATACATAATTATACGTGGAATTAAAGTTGAATTTGTCATTATTTACCTGCTGCTGTTGAAGCTGTGGATTTAAGATCTGAGGTTGTTGACTCATACTTAGCATTTGGTTTTGACTCATACTCATCCTCTGTTGTTGATTCATCATTTTTCCTTGCTCGTTCATTTTACTCCACAACCCACCAAAACCCTAACCAAAATTTTTTTAAAAAAAACAGATCGTAAATCAAATCGGAACAGTTACTCCTCAAATTATCGCTAAGAAAAAACCTCCGAAAATTGAAAACAATTACAGAGATATTCGGACTCTCTTTTTTTTTTTTTGGGGCGAATTGAGCTTTTTAGGTAATCGAACCTAATTTTTGGAATCCGATTCGTTGCTTGAATTGAGGTTTAATTTTTTTGAATTCTTCAATTTTCTCTCTCTAGAAATCTCGATCGGTAGTTTTTGCGTGAGCCTTTGAATTTTGTGCTGTGGTGACGGACGGAAACGCGAAAGGGTGGTGGTGTTTATATAGGAGAAGAGGAAGTGATTTAACGGTAGAGATTTATCCTAATGAAAATGGAAGATGGATAAGTGACACGTGGTGTAAGAGTGCGGGTTTTTGACAGGATTAGGTTTTGAGAAAGTAACAGTAACCGCCCTTGGTTTGTTGATTAAATTACGCATACCAGCCATTGTTGATTTTAAAATTACATAGGCCTCCTCATTATTTGACACAAATAATGCTGCTCGGTGGGCCGGGCCTGAACCGGACCGGACCGGGCCCGCGGTCCTAACGG